CCTCGGTGAGTGCGCATGCGCAGGGGCGAGTGGCCCGGGGCGCGTCGGTGGACGTGGGACCTCAGCTGGCTGCCAGTCGTCGCCCAGCTCCTTGGCCAAGAGGGAGCTCGGCGTTTGGAGTCAGCCAGACATTTCGTGTCCCTATCAGGTGGTCCGTGCTCTCCAAGCCTCAGCATATTAACCTGTAAAATGGGCACACGAGGTTGGGAAGATATCATGAATGTTGTCCTAAGCAAGGGCCTGGCAACACCAGAGATCAGATCACCTAGTAAATGCTGCTATTTTTATTAGGGAAGATCAATCATTATCACAAAAGAAACCCCAGCCACCTGGGCGGGGCAGAGGGAACACTCCCTGGGCCTCCCATTTAACTGGGACCCAGACGTGAGGGGCCTCAGAGGGGACAAATGGCTGGAGTCTCAGTTCCTGGCTTGGAGGAGCTGGAGGGAGACAGTATAATATAGCAGGTAAGACAGGGAGCTTCAGAAAGGCTCGCCTGGGTCCCAGTCCCCGTTCTGCAGCTCCCCAGCTTTGTAGCCCCGGGTAGGTCGCCTCACCTCTCGTGCCTCATTTGGGAAACGGGAATAACGGTCAAACCTCCCGCAGAGAACTGGGACGAGGACCAAGCAGGCAATAATTGCAAAGCCTCTGGACGTGCCGGGCCCAGAGTAAGCGAGCAATGCGTGGCGAGCACTGCTCTCAGCGGCGACCTCGCAGGGCTGTGGGGGCTGCTGTTCATTGCGCATCGACTGCATGTCTGGCTATTCTGAGCAGGAATCCAGCAGGAAACAAACTAGACAAAAGTCCCTGTCCTGAAGAGGTTGACATTCTTGTGGTCACGACAAAATAAAGAAATAAACAATATAATCTATAATATATAAAAATATAGAACATGTAAGATACAGATTTGCATAGATATCCAATTTTATTATTATTACGCAGACTGTATTATTGGACATAGAAGTATTAAGTTATTGCTGAGTTTTGGGGGGGGCGGCTGGCCCGTATGGAGATTCGAACCCTTGGCCTTCTCAGCACCAGGCTCTCCAGTTGAGCTAACCAGCCAGCCCCTGTTTTTATTGCTATGACTCCTACTTTATGTATTACTGCCACACCGTTATTACTAGAAGACAGTGAACGATATTAATCCGAGCTCTCAGGTGAAAGGGACAGGGCGTCCCAGGCTACTGCTGCCCCCACCCTTCAAGCAGGAATAAGGACGGGGGTGTCCTTAGGGTGGAGTTGGAGGGGCTCCAATTCCTCTCCTGCCCCGGTCCCAGGGGAGGAGGAGGGAGAGAAAATAGCATTGATTAAACTCGCAATAAATCACCATTTAAATTTAAATAATCCAGCTTCCCAGGCGGTAATTAGGCGAATTGACTGGCGCCGAGAGAATGCGGCATTAGCGCCTCTGATTACTGTCATTACCGCGAACAACACGTGCGCCGGCGGGGGATAAACATCTTGTCTATTGTCCCAGAGCTCGAGGCGGGCAGGGTGCGGGGGGCCCAGAGCGTCTCCCTGGGGTCCAGCCCCCCCAGAACTTGGGTGGGCATTCCGAGGCTCCGAGGCGGCAGGGGCTTGATGAAGTCACACACGGAGGTGGCAGACCACGGACTCAGCGACCCCCGCCTGTACGCGGAAACCAAGTGGGCTGTGTGGGCCCAGTCATGCGTAGACTCCTCTAGTCCAAAACTGGGAAGTCAGGGACTGGCGGATCAGTTCAGTTGGTTAGAGCACAGCCTTAAAACACCAAGGTCCCGGGTTCGGATCCCCTTACCGCCAACCGCCAAAAAAAAAGGAAATCGTGGGTTGGGCATTTCCAGCCAAGCAGGGTCCCTAACAAGAGGCCAAGCATGTGCTTTCATAATTCAGATGAGGAAACTGAGGACAGCTTCTTAACTGAAGTCAGAGAGCAAAGCATTGTGCCTCCCCCTCTCCGAAGGGGACGGGGCTTCTACAGCCCTCTCAATAATAATAGCAATAATGTACAACCCACGTGTCACACACTGTACTAAGCACTGTGTACAAAGTAACTTGCCTCACCCTCTGGGAAATCGTGGGAGGGAGGCACTATTATGATTCCCATTTTATAGAAGTGGAAAGCCAAGGCCCAGAGACGTGGAGCTGTTTGTCCAAGGTCACACAGTCAGGAAGGGACCCCAGGATTCAAACGCAGATGGCCTGGATCCAGAGTCCACCTTCTCCACCACCGTACGTGGCATGGCATGAGTCCTACCTGTAGGTCTCAAACCCTTTGAGCTTAGTCTGCCATCTGTAAAATGGGGCAACAGGTGTTAGAGTCTAACCCCGGGTCTCTGAGTCTAGGGGGAGACAGACTTGTCCTCACGTCAGCATCTCCCTGTTTATCCAGCAAACTCCCATTGAATACCTTCCCTGTGCCAGGCACTGGTCTAGGTGCTGGCGACACAGCAGGGAACAGGACAAAGTCTCTGTCCACAAGGGTGAACCCCCAAACCCTACACCCAAGGCCCGTGCCCCGTCCCTCCCCAACCTCATCTTCTGCCCCTGTCACCTCTTCACTCCCCCTGCTGACACTGGCCTCCTTGCTGTTCTTCAGAGAAGCATGTTGTGTTCCCACCTCAGGGCCTTTGCGCTTGCCCTGCCCTCCGCCGGGAGCTCCCTTGCCTCAGAATGTCAGCTCTTCAGCGAGGCCTTCCCTGACCTCCTCACTAAACATGGCAACACCAGCCCTGCCCTCCAGCACTCCCTGCCTCGCTTCTGTCCATAGCACTGTCGTCACCTCTGACGCTATGTATTTATGTACCTTGTTTATTGTGTGTCTCTCTTCCATAGCCCTTTGGTCACCTGGGGTGCAGTAATGGCTCAAGATATAGTTGTTGGGTGACCGTGGAACTGGGTAAGTGTAGGAGGGGTGACATCTTCAGTCACAGGTTAGGTATGGCCTCTCTGAGAAGTGATCATTGAGCTGAGACTCCGAGGAGGTGAGGGAGCAGGCTCTGAGAAGAGCTGGAAGACAGCAGCCCAGCAGAGGGAAGGCAGGGGCAAAGGCCCTTTGGCAGGCGGGAATCCGCTCGCTGGGCACGGCCAGCCATGAGGCCCACGGGACGGGCTGCAGAGGAGTAGGTGAGTGGGGGTTGATCACGAAGTGGTCAACGGGGGCCGTGGGGTGCAGGGCCTCGTGGGTGGTGGTGAGCTGGGAGACTCAGAGGTGGTGTGAGCCCAGTGGGGAGGCAAGTGCTTGATCCAGGAGGGAGGTGGGCAGCTAGACCTGGTGGGCCAGGGGCCCAGGTGCAGTCAGGCCCAGTCCTCTAGCTTGTTGAAAATCCCGTGGCAGCCAGAGATAGAAAGGGGTCAAAGCGGACTCCAGGGAACTACCTCGAATGCTAGAGGTGCCCCGAAGTGATTCACAGTAATGCTGATAAGAATCCTGGCAGAACTCTACTTTTAGGCACCTACCGTGTGCCTGGCTTTGTGCTATGGAGGCACTCCCCATGCAGGGACACATCCCACTCCATCGCTAGACCCATTTTACAGATGAGGCTGAGGAAAGGACAGGCGGAAGTGCCCCATGCATGGTCCAGCCCCATTGTCCCTCTCCATGGGGACCCCTCCACCCCCCACAGTGTTCAGGCCTACTCCCAGGGAGCTAGGCTTTTGGTGGTAGGCGGCGTTTCCTCTCCCAGAACTTCCCGTGGGTAGTATGTCCCAGCCCTCTTCTCCAGTACCCTGGATCAGCAAAGCCCTTCAGGGCAGTTGAGACTGAGAGGGAAAGGGGGACCCTTGTTCAGGCCTACTCCCAGGGAGCTAGGCTTTTGGTGGTAGGCGGCGTTTCCTCTCCCAGAACTTCCCGTGGGTAGTATGTCCCAGCCCTCTTCTCTAGTACCCTGGATCAGCAAAGCCCTTCAGGGCAGTTGAGACTGAGAGGGAAAGGGGGACCCTTAAAATGTGGAGGTGGCCTTGGCTTTTCCCTTCTGTCCCCTTTCTGCCCCTCGGTCCCCATCTCTTTATCCCTGTCTCCCCTCTTTCTGTCCCTGGATCCTCCCCCTCTACTGCCAGGTCTCACCCTCTCTGCCCCGGGTCTCCCCCAACTCCTGAGTCCCCCTCTCTCTACCTCAGGCCCCCCTCTCTCCCCCTGGGTGCCCCCATCCCTGCCCCTGGGTTACCCCCTCGCCTCTGCAGGAGATGATGACAACCGGGACAGGCTCTTAGAAAAACCTCCTCGAATATTTTTGAAATGAGTAAGTGACGTTTGGGGTTTGGATATGAGGAAGGGGAAGACCTGGGAGTAGTGAACAGCCACCTGCTGAATTTGGGGCCAGAGGAATAGGGGCATTTGGAGGGGAGAGGAGGGAACGTAGCAGGAGTCGGGGAGTTGGTGAGATTGGGGAGGTGGGTGGCGGGGGTAATGAGACACATCGCTCAGTGGTGGGAGACAGACACTGGGGGCCCCTATCACAGGGGCCATGGCCTGTGTGTGGGGAACAGCAGGTCCCCGAGCCCTCCACCTAACACACACCCTCATCCCGACGTGCCCATTAGTGCTGTTAATTGCAGCGGCTTGGTCTGACCCGGGCTGATCCTGTGAGAGGGAAAATGAAGGAATTAGCAAAAATGACAGGGGAAAATTGCGACAATTAGCAGGCAGCATTGTTCCCGCCTGTCACCTGGCTGGTTCGAGCTGCATTTCGGGGGAGGGGTCCCCAACACCCCCCCTCGGTTATTGTTCCTGGAGCTCTAGTCAGGGGTGGAGGCAGGGAGGAATCACCAGGAAGATGTGGGGCTTCTCCTGGGAGAAGGAGGCTTGGCCCAGACACTAGGGGGGACTGGGGGCCACGTCCTGATGGGGAAGGGGGTGGGGTATCGCTGCCTGGTTTTTCAGTGATCTGGTGATTAACAATAGTAATCGCACTATTAATACTAATCCCAGCTCTGTATTTGGCAGCACCTGCTGTGTGCCAGGCCTGAGCTAGGCCCATTCTGTTAAGCTGACTGAATGCTTAACCAGCCTGGGAGGTCAGTGCTTTTAGCAAACCCACTTGACAGAGGAGCAAACTGAGGCACAGACAGGCAAAGGGAATGGTCCCAGTGCAGGCAGCCAGGGAGGAAGAGTGCTGGGGCTTGACATCAGACCTGGATCCTTAGACCCACAGGAAGTAGATGCTTGGTGACCCTTTGGGTTGCTGGGTCCTTCCCCTGCCTCCCCAAAGTTCCCGGCACCTCACTGTCAGCACTGGGCCTCGATCTCCCTTGGGTCACCCAGGAGTCCTGGATGGGAACAGAGTCACGGACCTCTGCGTCTCTGCCCACCCCCAGCATGCGGTCCAGGGCCCTGGCTCCTTGCAGTAGGGGGGATGGGGCAGGGGGCCTGTGTCTCTCTTTGCCTCTGTCTCATTCGCCATCTCTGTCTCTCTGTTCCTGTCTTTCTCTGTATCTGTCTCTCTCTGTGTATCTCTTTTCCCATCTCTCCATTTCTCTCTTTGTTTTTGGCAGCTGGCCTGCATGGGGATCTGAGCCCTTTACCTGGTGTTATCAGCACTAAGCTCTAACCAACTGAGATAACTGGCCAGTCCCCTCTCCATCCATCTCTTTATATCTCTCTGTCTTTAACTCCCTCTCTATCTCTCTATCTCTGTCTCAATTTCTCTGTGTCTATATATGTCTCTGTCCCTATCTCTTTTTTAAAAAAATATTTATTGAGGTGAAATTTACATAACATAAAATTATCCGTTTTAAAGTGTAAACACCACCTCTATCTAGTTCCAAAATATTTCCATCACCCCAAAAAGAAACTCCGTGTACCCATTAAGCAGCCTCTCCCCAGCCCCTGGCAATCACTAACTTGCTTTCTGCTCCTTGGATTTGCCAATTCTGGTCATTTCTTATAAATGGACTCACACAATATGTGGCCTTTTGGGTCTGGCTTCTTTAACTAGCATCATGTTTTCAAGTTCCATCCATGTTGTGGCATGTGTCAGTGATTCATTCCTTTTTATGGCCCAATAATATTCCTTTGGATAAACACACAACATTTTATTCATCCGTTCATTAGTTGATGGACACTTGGGTTGTTCCCACCTTTTGGTTGTTGTGAATAATGCTGCTATGAACGTACATGTGCAAGTATTTGTTACAACGCCTGTTTTCAACCCTTTTGGTTACATGTATACTGAGAAGTAGAGCTGCTGGCTCACATGGTAATTCAATGTTGACTTATCGAGGAACCACCAAACTGTTTCCATAGTCACTGCACCGTTTTACAGTCCTATCAGCAATGCACCAGGGTTCCAGTTTCTCCACATCCTCACCAACACTTATTTTCTGTTTTGTTTTGTTTTTAATTCTGGCCATCCTAGTGGGTGTGAAGTGGTGTTTCATTATGGTTTTGATTTGCATTTCTCTAATGATTAATGATGTTGAGTATCTCTCTTTATTGGCAATTTGTATATCATCTTTGGAGAAAGATCAAGTCCTTTGCCCATATTTGAATAGGGTTGTCTTTTTATGGTTGAGTTGTAATGTCTCTCTTTCTCTCTGTTCCTTTATTTTTATTTATTTATTTTCTTTAAAGACCAGGGAGGGGATCTCAACCCTTGACTTGGTGTTGTCAGCACCACGCTCAGCCAGTGAGCGAACCGGCCATCCCTCTATGGGATCCGAACCCGCGGCCTTGGTGTTATCAGCACCGCACTCTCCCGAGTGAGCCACGGGCCGGCCCTCTCTCTGTTCCTTTATATCCCCCTGTCTGTCTCTCTCTGTCAGTCTGCTCTCTGCCTCCCTCCCGTCCTTCAGGTCTGAGCTCAGATGCCCCCTCCGTAGCCCTAACCCTATATTATTCATTTCACGCCGCTGTTTGGTTTGTCATAGCACTGGCCACAAATGACAATTCTATATTTGTTAGTTTCTTGTTTGTTGTTCATCTACACCTGGCCTGCGAGGTGTAGGCCATTCTGTCCTGGTCTCCTCTGTGTCCCCAGCACTATCTTGTACAGGACCTGTGAACTGTAGGCATTCAGAAAGCTTTTGCTGACTGAGTGAATGAATGAATGAATTCCTCTATACATCCCATGGTCTAGCTCTCTGTCTCTGTGTGTCTTAGTCACTATGTTTGTCTCACTGTCTGGCCCACCTCTGCCCTCCACATACCCCAGATCTCTTCCCCCACATGGCCCACAGACCCTGGAATCAATACCTCAAGATGGCTGCAGGCCCAGGAGGGAGAGAGAGAGATTTGTAGACTGGCTCCCTGGGGGACTGCCCAGGCCAGGGTCAGCCAGTCCAATAGGCCCTGGCTTTATCCCTCCCTCTACCCTCAGCCCCAAGCCGCAGGGGCCCGGCCGCGCTGGTCACTGAAGTCTTCGAGCAGCACCTGGGAGGACACATCTTACAGGTGAGGCTCCTTCCCTGCCTACTGCTCCCTGCTGCCACCTGGTGGCTTCTGCCACGGAACAACAGCCTCTTCTCCAGCGTTTATCCCGTGGGGAGCAAAACTGGGAATCTGGATGCTCCGCCTCCCCTCCTGCCTGCCCCTTCCAAGGGCCATGGAAGCCTCCCCCCCACCAGAACAATCCATCCCAGGTGGAGAACCTCCCTTACCACTTGTCGGGTGGACAGATTGATGCCAGGCCTTCCCTTCTCCCCTCCCTGTCTCTCCCAACTCCAGTCCCTGGATGGCTTCGTGTTTGCCTTGAACCAAGAAGGAAAATTCCTGTACATCTCAGAGACAGTCTCCATTTATCTGGGTCTCTCACAGGTAAGGGGCCCCAGTGGGCAGTCTGGACTGGCTCAGCCACCATCTTCCTTGCCTGGCCCATGCATGTCTTTCTCTCTCCTGGCCTCAACCATCCCAGCATGAAAAAAATGGACTGGACCTCTGGTTCCCAAAGTGTGTTCCTTGGAACCCCACATAGCACACAACGTGGCTCATCTGCAGGAGCAGGGGAGGATTATTAAAGTAACAAGCCAAAACAGGAAAGCAAATAGCTGAAAAATCAGTTTGCCAATCATTGGTGGCCAGATTGGCCAACACTTATTTCTTCTTAACAATTTTAAAAGTTTACAGCAATTCCTACTGGAAGGGTTTGAGGTTTGCCAGCTTTGCAAGACTTCTGTGGCATTTTAGTTGACTGGTTTGCATTTTGTTCTTTGTTTCAGCTTGCTGTTTTTGCCCCAGCTCCTGCAGCTGGAGGCTAAAATTATAAAGGGAGGGCAGGGAGAAGCCAGAAGCCCCCATCCTTGGAGTCCTGGCTTCTTACAGCATCTCAGCCATTTGCCAATCCATTCAATACAAATTGCCATCAACTTTTATCATTTTTACAAACATTTTGGCAAATGGGAAATTTGGGAAATTCAGCGCACTGGTAGTTTATCCCTTGTGAGCAGCTCTTCAGTGAGTTGTTAGAGATTCCTGGAGGAGGAAGACCTTGAAAGGAGGGGAATTTGGACAAGAGGAAGGGAGGGAGGAAGAGTAAAGGAGAGGCTTGAAGCTGGTGTGGGGGAGGGTTCAGGGAGGGAGAGGAGCCAGAGGGATGAGGGATAGAGGGACGCATGTAACCCCAAGGTGCAGGGCAGTGGGAGCCGCGAGAGGTTTCTGGGGAGAGCCGTGGTCAGATCAGTGACTTGTGGAGGGGTCTCTGAGTGGGGAACTGGAGGCCAGAAGACCAGTGAGGATGCTGGGCAGGAGCACTCCCAGTGGGGAGAAGACGGGGGACTGCACTGCAGGAGACAAGGACAGAGATCTCTGTGGGAGGTAGAATTGAATGTGAAAGTGCCTAACTTTAAGGTTCTAATTCTTTAAAGAGTTTGAAAACCATTCCACTGTTTGTATTCTGAGTTCCATTCCAGCTGGGACACCCTGTGATTCATGTCAGTGCGCAGCTGTTTGCTGTAAGGAATGGCAGTGAATAAGCAAGAGTTAGGAAAATGGAGGCTCTGACACCCCCACACCCTGCCCCAACACGCCCGAGAGAGAGAGAGAGAGAGAGAGAGAGAGAGAGAGAGAGAGAGAGCGCCCCTTCTTCACGGAGTAGGCAGGGGCAGAAAAGCCTTAAATAAACATTAGGTGTGAAGCAGGAAGGCAGGAGAAGAGCCTAAACTGCAACCTCCTTTTAAAAGGTAAATTTTTTTTTTCTAATGAACACACAAGACTGGCATGAAGCGCGCCTGCGTGCAGGCGAGGAAGCCAGGGTGAGCCTGGCAGGCGAGTCACGGCGCGCGCACCCCACCCGCTTCCTGTATTCCCCTCCATTGCCGGCAGGTGGAGCTGACGGGCAGCAGCGTCTTCGACTACATCCACCCCGGGGACCACTCCGAGGTGCTGGAGCAGCTGGGGCTTCGGGCCCCGAACCTGGGGCCCTCCACCCCGCCCTCCGTCTCCTCCTCTTCCTCTTCTTCCTCGCTTGTGGATACCCCTGAGATCGGTAATTATGAGGACCCCGAAAGAATGAAGCCTGAGGATAGGTCAGGGACGCTTGGCACACTGTATCCAGCTGTACCTCTTTTGTACAAAACCCACTCTCGTTAGAGTTGTGCAAAGCAAGTCTTTGTAAAACTTACCAGAGTCTAAATTGAAGCGGTGAGACATGGTTGCCTAAAATAGCCTAAGCTCCTAAGATTGCCTGGCTTCCCCAGATTTGAGCTTTAGAAAAGACCCCTCTGGCTGCTAACTGGAGGTGGGAGTGGCTTATTGGGCATTAACATTGTGCTGTGCCTTTAAGTCCATTATTGCACTGGGTCCTACCCCAACTCCACAAGGCAGTAGCTATTATTATCTCCATTTTACAGAACAGAAAACTGAGGCACAACACAGAGAGGTTAATTGCCTCAGGTCACACAACTGTAAGTGATTGAATTGGACTCCAGCCTAGTTTTGTCCAGTGCCAGGATTTGTGCTCCTAATCCTTATCTTCAGTAGAAATTTCCACTCCCGTGTTAGGGAGGGAGGGTGTTGGAGATTACCATGAAAGCTCCTTTTAGCTCTGAGATGTTGAGTATTTGTTACAACGCCTGTTTTCAACCCTTTTGGTTACATGTATACTATGTATACTAGTTTGCCTATGAGGCAAACTATCCTGTAAATAGGATTTTGCTAGATAGAGGTCCCCAACTTACAGCTTTATGATAGTGCAAAAGTGATAAGCAGTCAGTGGAACCTGTACTTAGGCACCCACACAACCATTCTATTTCTCACTTTCAGTACCGGAGCACAAATAAATTAATAATAAATTAGATGTGATATTCGACACTTTCTTATAAAACACTTTTTGTTAGATGATTTTGCCCAACCGTAGGCTAATGTAAGCATTCTGAGCACGTTTAAGATAGGCTAGGCTAAGCTGTGATGTTCGATGGTTAGGCGTATTAAATGCATTTTTGACACGATATTTTCAGCTTACTATGGGTTTATTGGGATGTAACCCCATTGTAGGTCAAGGAGCGTTTGTATTGGGTTTACTTAACAACAAAAACATCTGAGATGTCAGCCATGCTTGCCAGCTTGGGGAGATGTCTGTAATACATGTGGGACTATTGGGGAGTGTGACTGTGTTTGTATCTGAGTTTGAGGCACAGGGTCATCTGTGTGTGAGTATAGTTATAAGACTGTATAGTGGGATTTACAGAATAATCTGGTTTTGTTTTATTTGTTGCTGTTCCCTGTTCTGTGCCAGGCCCTGTGCTGGGGACACAGTAGTGACCATGACAGTCCCAGCCCCACCCTCCTGGGGCTCACAGTCCAGTGGGGGAAACTGACCTGTCCCAAGACAATGACAACCCAGACCGAGCAGGGCTGGGATGGGGGAGCTTACAGGGGGCAGCTGACCCAGCCCAGGGGTCAGGGAGGGCTTCCTGGAGGAGAGTTTGAGCTAAAGAGGCGGCTTTCTTCTAAAGACCCTAGGGAGCTATGGCAGGTTCAGAGCAGGGGAGGGACAGGGTCAGATTTAAGCTTTAGAAAGACCTGGCTGGCTGCCGCATGGATGGGAGGTTAGTGTATGCTGTCTCAGTGAGCTTGGAGAACCATTAGATATGTCTCTCTCTGAGTGTGTCATGACCCTGTGGGTATTCCGTGTCCATGTTGGGCTGGCTTTGCCAGGGGTGGAGGTGGCCTGTGTGTTTCTTCATCAGGACCCCATACCCTTCCACACTCTCCACCCCAGAGGCCAGCCCCACCCAGGTGCTTCCCACCTCCCGGGTCCAGGAGCGCTCCTTCTTCATCCGCATGAAATCCACCCTCACCAAGAGGGGGCTACACGTCAAGGCCTCAGGGTACAAGGTGGGTGTGGGTCATCTGGCCCTAGCCCCTGACTCCCAAGTACCCTCACCCCTGAGAGAGCACCTGCATTCCTGCCAGCTATGTCGCAGGTCCGAGAGTGACTAAGGGAGCCAGGCTGGTGACTTCACTAGCTGCAGAGAACCAGACCTGGAAGTGGGGGCCACACACTGCCCCCTGTGCCCCGGCACCTGTGGATGACAGATGGAACCTGGCCCGGGGTTCTGGTTCTGGTCCTCCTGCCCCACTGGTCCCACTTTGCCCCTCTAACCACACCCACTGCCAGCAGGTCATCCATGTGACCGGGCGCCTTAGAGCCCGCGCACTGGGCCTTGTGGCCCTTGGCCACACGTTGCCCCCAGCCCCACTGGCTGAGCTGCCTCTACATGGACACATGATCGTCTTCCGTCTCAGCCTGGGTCTCACCATCCTTGCTTGTGAGAGCAGGTACCCGGGTTGGTGGCTGAGGTGGGGTGGGTGGGGGTGCACAGGAGACCTGGGGTATGTGGGAAGTGGGAAGGGCACTGGGGAGCCACAGAAGACAGAAGAGTAGGGAGGAGCAGGGGTGATGGAAAGAAGGGCGTGAAGGCTGGGAGGCAAGGGTGGCCACTGGGGTCTGGCCCAGGGTGGGGCCTTTAGGATGGAGAAGGGGCTGGTGTCATGGCGTGCTTCTGCAGAGCTGTGCCCCTCCCAGAGCCCATCTCTTTCTCTGATCTCTGATCTCTCATCCATTCCTTCTCCTGCACCACGCAGTGGGGAAAAATTAAATAGTGAAATAGTTCCCATGCTCTGAGTATCTCCAGAGTGCCTGGGGCCTTGCCACATGTCAGGGGCATCATCTGCTTGAATGCTCATAGCCGACCCAGGAGGGACACTATTATTATGCCCATTTTACAGAAAGGAAAACAGAGGCAGAACTCTCCAGAGCAAGTGTGTAACCCAGGGTGACTCTGGAGCCAACTCTACCTCTTTCCCCCACCCCATGGTCTTGGACTCCTTCTCCTGTCTTCTCTCTGTTGCCCACAGAGTCAGTGATCACATGGACCTGGGGCCCTCGGAGCTCGTGGGCCGCAGCTGCTACCAGTTTGTCCATGGACAGGATGCAACCAGGATCCGCCAAAGCCACCTGGACTGTGAGATATGCCTCCACTAAGCACCACCCCACACCTGAGTACCCCCCACTGCCCTGTTCCCTAGAAGTCCTTCTTCAGGGCTGATCACAGGCCCTCCTGCTGTACCTTATAGCTCCAGGAGCTCAATTCAGCACAGAAAGGGCAGCAAGGAGACTCAGCAACAGCTCAGGGTGTGGGGTGGGAATAAGGGGGACTGTCTCTCTGACCCACCCTTAGAAGCCCAGGACGCCTCGATGCTGGGTTAGCTCTCACACACTCTGACTGTTTCCCTTTCTGTGCTTTTGTCTTTCTCTCTTCTCCCCATTGTCTCACCCTTTCTGTCTCCCTGTCCACCCCCCTCTGCTGGTCTTCCTCTCCCTCTCTGCCTGTCCCCTCCTGTCCACCTGTCTCTCTGTCTTGCCCGCATCCCTTCCGGTCTCTCCCTGCCCCTGCACTGGGCTCAGTGCTGGACAAGGGGCAGGTGATGACTGGTTACTACCGCTGGCTGCAGCGCGCTGGGGGCTTTGTGTGGCTGCAATCCGTGGCCACCGTGGCTGGGAGCGGGAAGAACCCCGGGGAGCACCACGTGCTCTGGGTCAGCCACGTGCTCAGGTGAGGGCTGTGCCCCGCCCTACCCACAGAGGGCTCAGAGCCCCCTCCCAGAGATCCTGCCGTCTCTCCCAACTTCGGGGTAGAGGCTCTCCAGGGAGGGCTTCTAGAACAGGACAAGCCTGGAGGAGTCTAAAAACATGAAGGGGACCCTACCCACAGAGGGCTCAGAGCCCCCTCCCAGAGATCCTGCCGTCTCTCCCAACTTCGGGGTAGGGGCTCTCCAGGGAGGGCTTCTAGAACAGGACAAGCCTGGAGGAGTCTAAAAACATGAAGGGGAAAGGGGGACAGGGAGAAGCCTGGAGATGGAATGGTCTTGCTTATAGGAGACAGACAGGAGCCACGGGGAGGGGACAGTATCTGTGAGAGAGGCAGGGGCAGGTCCACAGCAGTTTCAGGCCCAGGTTGAGGGTCTGGACTTGACTCTGGGGCACTGGGGAGCCATGGCAGGCTCTTACCAGGGGAGGGCCACAGAGCAGAGCAACTGATGGAAAGAAGCCAGAGGTGGGGAAGGCATTTTAAGCAGGAGGCACAGCCGAGACAAAGGCCAAGAGCAACAGCCTGACCTGTCTGAGGAACTAAAGGTAGTGTTCGGGGCTGGAGTATAAAGTCGTGAGACAGGCTGAGGATAACTGTAGGGCCTTTTGTCTCGGGGCACTAGGGAGCTATAGAAGGCTTTAGAGCTAGAGAGGGTCACAGTCAAATCTGCTTTTTGTAAAAACCCCTCTGGCTGCGTGTAGAGTGGGGGGAGGGGGGCTGAGGGACAAGACAGGTGCTGGGGGTTCAGGGAGGAGGCTGGGGCAGGTCCTGGGAAATGAGGGACTCCAAGGGTGGAAAGGGGAGGAGGCCATATTCTGCTCAGGTCTCTGGCTTTGCTGGGCCTGGATTTGGGCTCCTAAGTGGAGCAGCAGATTTGGAAGGAAGATGCTGAGGTGCCCAAGGGACCAAATGGTGACATCCAGGTGGCCACCACCTGTATGGGTCTGGCCTTAGAACAGAGGGCCAAACTGGGCTTAAAACCAACCTGGAGTTTAGGGGTCTGGTGATGAGCCCTTTAAATGCCTGGGGAGGCCGAGCCCGTGGCGCACTCGGGAGAGTGCGGCGCTGGGAGTGCAGCAGCGCTCCCGCCGCGGGTTCGGATCCTATATAGGGATGGCCGGTGCACTCACAGCGCTCACTGGCTGAGCGCGGTGCGGCCGGTCTCAAAAAATAAATAAATAAAAATAAATAAATGCCTGGGGGAGGTCCACATTCACTAGTGGGGTTGTCTACACTCATAATGGTGGAGGGGAAGTCTACACTCACTGCTGTGAGTCGGGTGGGGCTAGAGGGAGCCTTCACTCACCAGAAGCTGGACAGCCCGGGACCTCTAGCTCCCAACACCATCCATCTTGTCCCCAGCCAAGCTGAGGGTGGCCAGACACCTCTGGATGCCTTCCAGCTTCCAGCCAGCATGGCCTGTGAGGACGTGTCCAGCCCAGGGCCGGAACCCACAGGTAAGCCCCACCTCCTACCTCAGTCCCTGAAAAGCTCTGAGGGACCTTTGGGACCTGCTTTCCAATCCAGAAGCCACTAGCCACATGTGGCCATTTATATTAACATTGAAAATTAAAAGTCTATGCCCTCAGTCATACTGGCTACATTTCAAGTGCTCAGTAGCCACATGTGGCCAGTGGCTGCCTTGTGGGACAGTATATAGAATATTTTCATTACCATGGAAAGTTCTATCCTGGAAAGTTCTACTGAATAGCACAAGTCAAGACCAGGGTTTCTCAATCCCCAGCTCTACTGACATTTTAGGGCCAGGTGATTCTTTGTTGTGGGGCTGTCCTGTGCACTGTAGGATGTTTAACAGCATCCCTGGCCTTGGCCCACTAGATGCCAGTAGCACCCTCCTCCCAGCTGTGACAAGCAAGAATGCCTTCAGACATTGCAAGGTGTCTCCTGGAGAACAAAACTGTTCCCAGCTGAGAACCCCAGGTCTAGCCCACTGAGCACAATTCCATTCCACAGAAGGGAAGACTGAGGGAGGGGAACTCACACACACAGCGCCCTTCTGACTCTTCCCCTTACAGAGCCAGAGCCCCCAGTGGGAGAGAAGCAGGCTGCCCCCCCGGATGAGAACGAGGCCTCCGAGACACAGGGCAAACGCATCAAACTGGAGCCCGGTCCGAGGGAAACTAAAGACTCAGAGGACAGTGGGGACGAGGAGCTGTCCAGCCACCCGGCCTCACCGCGGCCCGAGTTCACCTCTGTCATCCGGGCAGGGGCCCTGAAGAGGGCCCCGGTGCAGCCGTGGGGCCTGGCGCCTGCCGGGGACCCCGCACCAGCCCTCCTGCATGCAGGCTTCCTGCCGCCCGTCGTGCGGGGCCTGTGCGCGCCCAGCACCATCCGCTATGGCCCCACGGAGCTGGGCCTCATGTATCCCCATCTGCAGAGGCTGGGCCCGGCTCCCCCACTCCCAGAGGCCTTTTACCCAACCCTGGGCCTGCCTTACCCTGGGCACACGGGCACCAGGGGGCAGCGGAAGGAGGACTGAGGACTGAGAGGGCCGCCAGAGGGATGGCGCCTCGGGGGTGGCTGAGGGCTCCACGGGCTGTGAGGGAAGGTGCTCAGCCCTCCTCGAGTATTAAACGCCTGCTCCCTTCCTGTGGCTGGGTCTTGGGGCTGGGGAGAGCTGTGCACTCCTCCCCCCGTGTCTGTCTCCTCGCCTTCCTCTCCCACGCCATCCACCTCCAGGCCCAGCCTTCCCCAAGTAACACGAACCACTACTCGGAATCTGGAGCAAGGGGTCAGGTTTTAATGTCCCAGTGCTCGGGCCGTCCAGCGCCCGGCCAGTCCCCATGGCCCTGTTGCTTACTCAGGTGGCGGCCGGCCCGCTTCATCCGGGCCTTCTGCAGTGGCCGCTCCGTCATCCTCGGGCACCAGTTCCACATCCAGCTCGAGCTGGCCCATGTAGAGGCCGACGGCACACGCCCAGAGCAGGCTGGCGGCCAGCACAGCCCCCACGCCGGCCGCTGCGCCCCCCAGCGATAGCTGCATGGGCCCCCGCAGCGCTGCCAGGCCCACAGCATACGAGGCGCCGCCCCACACCACGCACAGACCGCCCAGCAGGAAGAAGCCTGTGGAAGAAGGCGGAACCACGGTCAAGGGCGGGCAGGACCTGGGGCCCTGGACTGGGACAGGATGGGGTCGGGGGTAGTACAGGGCCAAGCTCACGGGCATGAGAAGGGATCAGAGAGGGTGTCTAGAACTTAGAGGTGGGTGTCTGGGGGTCCAGGATTAGAGGAGGGGTGGAGGCGGTCTGGAAGCAAAGACAGTGTTGGAGGGGCAGAGGCCATGCCAGGGGCTGGCAGCATGAGCCCGAGCTAGGACCCTCATATTTCTTGAGAAGTCAGATTGGAGGAGAGGAGACTCATTGCCATGCTCTGGGCCACCCACTTCAGGTGGGTCCAGTGCCCATGAGGATGGGTGGGTTGGGGGAAGGTGACACTCACCAGTAAGGGGGGGTGATTTCTGGTGGGGGAAACTGGGAGGTTCTCCATATATTATTGGCGGTTGGGATGGAACAGGAAGGAGTCTACATTTACCAGGGATGCATGCATTCCCCCGTTTGGGAGGACTGTCCACATTTCCTGGTGGGGGTGAGAGTAGGGGTCTGCACTCACCATAGGCAGCTTCCCGACCCATGTCACTCTGCATGAAGGAGATGACCCCGATGCCAGACGCCAGGAGGCCATTGCGGAACCAGGAGAGGAAGGCTGGAGAGAGCAGGAGATGGGGGGGGATCAGCATCAGGCCAAACCCTACCTCCTAAACTCCCCTCAGCCCAGACACTCAAACCGAGGGTATTGCCCTCATTCCCCCTCCATCCCATCCAGCCGCAAGGCTAACCCGCCCCAAATCCTCACCTATTCCGGGAAGCCCCGCTTCTAACCCCATCTCCCCAAACCCTCTCTCGCCTCCATCTTTGTGCCCCTCCCCCGCAAACTGCAACACTGAAGTTTCAAGACGGTCTCTGCGGAATCTGGACGAGGATCTAGAATCAAAATTGCAGAACCTCAATCTGTAGACAGGAAGACTACAAGGGGTCATCTTGTCAACCTCCTCCCCACATATGACTCCTCACAGCATGCTCTCTCACTTCTTTCTCAGACCTCTGGGGCAAACTGTTCCCCCATCCCAGGCTTCTTTCCAGTTTCCCTTCGACTTCCTTCAAATCTCCTACCGGGTATGGCCTGTCCCGAAGCCATCCACATCTCTGCTCTCTCACTTCTTTCTCAGACCTCTGGGGCAAACTGTTCCCCCATCCCAGGCTTCTTTCCAGTCTCCCTTCGACTTCCTTCAAATCTCCTACCGGGTATGGCCTGTCCCGAAGCCATCCACATCTCCCCCCAGGCAACAGGCTGGTCTCATTACAGACCCTGCACCCCACCCCATCCTACATCTAGATGCCTGGTCCGCTCCAATCTGGAACGATCACTTGAGGCCCCGCCCCGTGCAGACTAGATCGACTCTCCCTCCAATCAGCAGAGAGCTCTCCTTCTGTTGGCTGTCCCCTCCTCCAATCCAGAACTTCCTCCTCTTCTGCAGGGATCCAGGCTCTCGCTTTATGCAGCGTGGTCGTATTTGCATCCCGAATGGACCCCTATTTGCAGGCAACTCCCTCAACCCTTAGCTCTCTCTGAAAGCCTCTCTCATCTCCTATAAGGCTGCCTCTCCTAACCGGACCCCCTCTCCCCCAGTCCCCACCACACCCCATAAACCCGAACCCAACCACCCCATCTGCAAGCCCTTCCCCTAGGCGGACAGCCTGTGCTCTTGCAGCCAGCACTTCCCTGCGCTCGCTCGGACGGAAGCCCTTCTCCCTGCCGAGCCCGGGCCCTGTTTCCAGCAGAAGCCCCGCCCCCATCGCCCACTCACACGCCGACTGCTCTACTACTCGAACCCTTTCTCCTATCTGGTCAGACTCCGACCCCAGCCGCAGACCTGTCTCATGCGCTTTCCGGAGCAGCCAGGCATCCGCGCGGTCCAGCTCGGACACCGGGGGTGGCGAAGCCCCGGCGCGGGGGCCGTGGCCAGGGGCGAAGGACCCCCGGGAGACCCCGCTCCGGGGCCGCTGAGGCGGCTGCAGCGCCCCCCGGAAGCGGAGTCGGGTTAGGCGGGCGGCCCGAGCCCACCACCAGCCGCCTCCCATGATTCGCACTAGGGCCGCCGCGCCCCGCCCCGCCCCACGGGCCGCCTGTAGGCCGCAGCCCGCGTCACTCAGGCTGAGCGGCCCGTCTATTGGTTCTGCGCCCGCCACTCAGGTCTGGCGCGCAATGTCCATTGGCCGGAACGGCCGTGATTCCCTCCTCTGTCATCTGTGCCGGTAGTGCCCGTCTTACCTTGCTTATGTCGCTGGACTACGAATCCCAAAGTTCTTTGCGCCGAAGAAAGGCCAGTCTTCAGAAGCCGGAGGCGCGATGTCTGCTGGGACTTGTAGTTTAAAAAAACTTAATTCTAATGGCCAGAAAACAAAACAAAACTCAGGGTGCTTAATGCAGAGCCCCTGAAAAAGCTCGGGGAACCCAGAGGAGAGTAAAACTCACCCGTGATAGCACCAATGGGCTATTACTACTAATATTTTGTTGTATTCCCGTCCAGCTGTTTTTCTACGCAGATGTAAAATAAAGTGCTGTTTTGTTTTTGTTTTTAAAAAGATGACCGGTACGAGGATCTAACCCTTGACTTGGTGGTGTCAGCACCACGCTCTCCCAAGTGAGCCACGAGCCGGCCCCATGAAGTGCTGTTTGCCAAAATAATTTTTTTCGCATAACAGCGTATTGTAGGGGCTGGCCGGTTAGTTCGGTTGGTGAGAGCGCGGTTAGTTCGGTTCCCACACCAGCCAGCCGCCGAAAACAAAAAAGTACTGTGGGGCCGGCCCGGTGGCGCATTGTCGCCGCTTGGGAGCGCGGTGGCGCTCCCGCCGAGGGTTCGGATCCCACATGCAGACCGGTTCCCGCTCACTGGCTGAGCGAGGCGCGG